CATCAAGCTTGCAGAGGAGTATTGAAAAAAATAATTAAAATTTATTATTGTCTAAACTGTTAATTATAAATGCGTTATTTAATAATCGTTATTTTATGTTGAATATTTTCTCCCTTATTTATTGCCGATAGAATGTGATTTAACGTGAGATATGAATTAATATCAGTGTTACTTTTTTTAAATATTACACGTTGAATGCATTTTTATTTCCATTCTCAAAATTTAGTATTTTTCTAACAATAAGTGGTACGATTTCTGCAATTCTCCCTTATTGCAATTAACAACTTCGAAATCCTAAATAAAATTAACCCTTTCCTGAGTGAATTTCTTTTTCTTCATTTTTTCTTTATCTGAACTGATATAAATTTTTGTTGCAGGTTTAATATACGCTACTCTGTGAAAAAGTTTCCACAAAAGTGAATTCTCTCTTCCAGTTCTCTATTCGAACTCCTACCGACTAGAATTACCGAGGAATTCGTGAAAAAGAGAATTGAACGCAACTTAAAAGGTGGGTAATCCTCCATTTAAATTCCATTGTAACTAATTTCATATAAAATTCAGCTAATTTCAAGGTATGTCAATTTTCTTCTCAAATGAGCCACTCAGAAGCTAAAGCAGTTAGCTCCGTCAAATTTTGCTTATTAACGAAGAGTTACGCACCAAGCATGCGTCTTGATACTAAAATTGAAAGAATTCCAAAAAGTGGAGTTAATCGTTTTGGCTTCCGAGTGGCCAAAGTTTCGATCAAGCAGCTGAACAAATTTTTCAAAAATTTCATTTTCGCAAACAATCAACTTATCGAGAACACAATCAAGTACTATCAATCTCTACAAATTCTCCAAAGAAGAATTCACCCTGGAACACTGACTTAGGAAATACACTTCCTCCAGAAATTTTCTTTTACATACACTTTCTATACATTCACTTTAGAAATATCATCAGATTCGATAAATGTGTGTTCACTAATTTATTCTTAATTTTAACCCTCCATAAACAATCTGGATCTTCGACGGCCCAAGTGAAATTTCGCTTCCGTATTTTCCAAACAAATTTTCATTTTTACCAAAAAAGGTTTTAAACATTTCACTTAACGAACAATTCTACAATGTAGCAGAGACTCTGACAAGTGCCCCAGAATTTTTTCAAATTTACTCAAAACTTGAAACAGTAGAAAAATTACACCTGAACACAAAGTGTACCCAGTTCACTTACGGAGTATGAAAAAATATGTTTGTCAAAGGAGGGCTAAATTTTTGCAATTTTAAATTTAGTAAAGTTAGTAGAAGAAACGGAAATATCATTTGAAACATGGATGTTAGCATTGCAAGGTCGTCCGTTTCCTTACCTGTGCCATCCACGTGCGATCCGCTGACGTCGTCTATGAGAAAGCGTTTCACAGACTCGATCGGGACGTACTCTTGATTGCTGTCAAGGTTCATGGAAATCCTATCGACCTGACACAGATTCGTCTGGAACAGGTCCGCGTCCTCGTCCGCGTAAGACTCAGAAGTCTTATACGTCCGATAATTCGATTCTGTGGGGAAGGCGATTGTTGTTTGCGCCTGTTGTTGCTGTTGCTGCTTCGAACTGGCAGAAATCGAGTCGTGCCGCGACAGGTTACTCGAATTGCCGGCTAGGCTGCCGGAAATTTTATTCTCCGACGACAACGACAAATTCGACAGTGGTGTCGTTGGCTCTGAATGATTCTTCACGTGTTTCCTGAGGCTCGACGGGTCCGTGTACCTCTTCCCACAACCAGTCACTTGACAGGCGTACGGTTTCTGAAAATTTCATCGAGCATATTTCTTCAGAATTTGTTTATGGAAGAGTGTAGCTTCGAGGACGAAAGAAAACACGATTCAAGGGAAGGAAAAACTGAAAGGAGAGAGAAGGAAATTGTGCAATTTCTTTTAGCGTTTATTTGTTTACTTATCGAAGCCATTGTGGAAGAAAAGAGAGAATAAGAGAGAAAAAGAAGTTGTACAATTTTTTTGCAGAATTTATTTATCGAGGAGTGTAAATCCATTGTAGAGAAAAATAGAAATAGGAGGGAAGAAAGTTGTACAATTTTTGCAGAATTTATTTATTAAAGGGTGTAAACGCATTATGGAAGAAAAATAGAGAAAAGGGAAGGATTGGTGCAAACCCGTTATAAAAGAAAGAAAAGGAAATTGTACAATTTATTTCAGAATTTATTTATTTATTCATCGAGGGGTGCAAACCTTCTATAAAAGCAAAAACGAGAGAGATAGAGCGCTGAATTATTGATAATTAAATTATGTAATTTCATGAATCAGACTTATACTGTAATTAATACACACTACCGGCCAAAAGTTTGGAACCACCGAGCATTGCAATTTACACAAAAATTTCCAGAAAAAGGTCAGCGACTTTGAGAATTTTTTATCGCTCGAATTGATATGAGATAAATTGATAAAAGTGGAATTGAGATAAAAAAAAAAAAATAGCAGCAGATTTAATATTGATGAAAAGTTGGAGGTGATTCGAAACTTTTGGCCGGTAGTGTATATAGCAAGAGGTACAAATGACAATGGAATATTTCTGGAATAATTTTGCAATTATTGCTGGATGGAAATTTATACAAATGGAAGATAATTGTTGACTAATAACTATGCGATTGCTTCTCGGTAATCTGAGCATGGAATACCACTTTGGTACAGTCGTTCAGAAGTATTAAAAAAACAGCGATTGTGAAATAAATTCGCATTTGAAATAAAAATTCATTATTACTGTCTCATAGAAATGATTAAACAAAATAAAAGTCATTTTTCAGTGACAATTGCAAATTTTTATTACTATCGTGCCATAGAATGATTTAATATCACGTGTAGGTATAGCATTTCACAAGATGTAGCATGTTACAAGAACGAAAATTTTCAGCTGATTTCAACATACATTTTATGTCCTCAAATGACCTCTCATTATAAAATTTCAACATTAGCGATAAACGTTATTCTTAATAAGTAACTTTACGATTCAGAAATATTCCATGATAAACACTACGAGTACTATGTTAACAAAATATGCAAAATCCAATCGTGCACATTTCACACAATTATTCACAATCAATTCACCGTGAAGAAAATGATTCAAAATCACGGTAAAAATGAATCCAAATTTTTATCATCAAATAGCAATGAATTTTCCACTTGTTCGAAGAAATAATCGTCGATGAAAATCAATTCTACGTTAATTGTGAACGTTTCACGACGAAACTAGGTTCTATGATCTGCAATTATCTTACATAAGAGACTAGTGCTCTGTATCAAATCGAGAATCGTCGTCGATGCTAATTGTAAGTAATATATGTCGCTCTTTATCAGACGTCTGCAGATAAAATCGGGCCATTATTTTTTTCTCTCCAATTATGCAATCTGCCGATTCAATTACTCGTGTATCAGCTTATACCGGTGTTATCGTTTGACCGTCTAAACGACTTTTCCATTTGTTTTTTCCAAACATTGACAGAAACACTCACCGTATCGTAATGTGTTCTTTGGTGTTTCGCGCGATCGCTGCTGTTGCTGAACGCCTTCGAGCAACCACGATGCTGACACGCGTATGGCCTCTCCCCTGTGTGAGATCTTTGATGGATCTTCAAGTTCTCCAGCCGCGAAAATGCCTTTTTACAGCCAGTGAACTATAAGTGAAAGAAAGAAAGTAATGTATATATTTTGCTTTTTCGTTGCGAAATGTTTAAAATTTTCCCATTGGGAGTATTGAAAAATATTTCTTTATCGCGTGATAAAATATTTCAGAAAATACTTGCGCTTGTAATATATTTTCGACGCAACACAAAATATGTAAGTGATAAATTCAATTTTTTTTAGATTTTTGACTTAGACCACTTCTTTTAAAAATTTCAGTTTTATTAAAATGATTTAATAGCTTCTTTGTTGGATTTAATTACGGTAGAATATTTTTTCAGATTTTTGAGTTAAATTGTGAATCTTCGAGAGGAGTGCGAAAAGAGAGCGCAATTGAAGTGTCGTTGCAGTCGTTGATTCTCTGAGAATCTTAAATAAGGACGAGGAGATGAGTAATTAAAATAAAACGAAATAGGGAAATTTGAAGGAAAAGATAGTGTAAATATAAATACACAATTATGTAAGAACGTCTGGAAAATGATCAAAACAATACGAAACTGGCATCTACTGTATATCAAATACAGAGGCTAGTAACAGAAACAAAAGTTCGTATCACATATAGAAATTATCAGCAATTACCAGTAACCCAAGAAGGTTATCTTAGCGGGCGAAAATTTTAGTTGAACGAGAATATTCTGATTCGCTGATACCATACAATTTTACGACATTCCTCGAAAACCATGTTTCCATAATATTTTCTAAATATCGAAAAGCCTAATTTTTTTAATAAGGATGCTTTCCTATATTCGGTCGTTTTGATACACATTTTAGATTCAAAAATTTCCAAATTTTTCAAACTATCGAAAACCTAATTTTTATATCATCTTTAACTTTGATTTCTATACTCAATTATCCTAATATATCAAGAAGCTTAATTTTTTTAATACGGATGCTTTCCTATATTCGTTCGTTTTGATACACATTTTAGATTCAAAAATTTCCAAATTTTTCAAACTTTCGAAAACCTAATTTCGATATAACAACGAAACCTACTCTTGAAACTAATTTAGTCACAAGTGTCACCTATCAGAAATATGAATTTTCAATGAAGAATGCTTTCCTACACTCAACTGAAAAAAAAAAATTTTCAACCTACCAAAAACCTAATTTTCGTACAATCGCAAAACCTTTTCTTAAGACTTCAAAATTTCTTGATCTCCAGACCTACCCTCCCTCAAAAGCGTCATTGAAATCCTTCATTCCTCCTTCACTTTCCTTAAAATTTCTATCCTCCCCCTAACTATAGCAATATACACATATATTTTTCTCTATTCCTATTTTCCCATAATTTGTTTACATATATACACACTTTTTCTTTTTCATGTAACAGCCTGCAGCTGTATCTCACTCCTACATATCAAAAACGTACAATTTTATCCCTACACACATAACGAAGACGTTAAAAGAACAAAGAAGGATCAATCAACTCATACGTACCGGACACTTATTCGGTTTTTCCCCGCTGTGGACCCTCATATGAATCAACAGCTTGTATCTAGCGTTGAAAGGTCTCGCACGCGGACATCCTTGCCACAGGCAAGCAAATTCGTCCTGCCCACTTCCGGAACCCGCGTAACCATCACCATCTTTGTCCTTGTCCTTGTCCCTGTCCCTCTGTACCCGTCTTCCATGTCCGTGCGCGTTCGAAGAGGAGGATTCAACGTGTCTTCTCTCGATATGGCGAACCAGGCCCTCCTGTTCAGCGAAGGCGCAGCCGCAATCTATCCATCGGCACTGATACGTCGACGTCAAGTTGTCGTCTGTCGTAGAACAGTCTGAGGCGGAAACAAACGTGTCATCGACGTGTAAACAAGCCGTGGATCTTGTGGCTCGTTAAGGAAGCTACTTGAAAACGACAGAGAAGGATCTCACTTTTCTTCCTTCGCTCGTCTGTGTTTATCTCGGATGTTTGTAAAAGAACGTGGGCTCACTTTCGATGCCACTTTCGAGTGCACCAGGTGCGACAGAATTGATCACCGAGATCGTGAATTTTTGGAGAGGTTACAGTGGAAACGATGGAGATTTTGCAAATTTTTTGGCCAACTTTATCGAGGATTGAAAGGACCTTTGATTTTTCTTCGGAGGAACGGTTTCATTACTGAGATTGATGGGAATTTATTTTGTTATTAATTTCTGAAAGTGAAGTACTAAAGAGAATTGATCACTGAGATCGTGAATTTTTGGAGGAGTTACAGTGGAACTTTATTGAGGATTTTGAAGTTTTCCTCACAGGGAACATTTTGAGCACTGAGATTGATAATAATTTAAAAGAAGTACCATACAAGTTTCAATTCTTTACTTCTGGAAACTGTCAGATTTCAAGTTAATGAAATTAAACCAGAAAAACCACCGACGAATTTCCAACTTATCGCAACATAAATCTCTCCTTTCAACATCTCAACAGAGTATCCACAACAATCCTCAGAAAACTCACCGAAAGATTTGCTCCGTTTCTCCGTGTCCCCGGCAGCCTTGGACACCGGCACCCTTCGATCGGTCAGCAACAATCCCTCGTTCCTCGGCAAGACAACCTGGTTCCCGAATCCCTCGCTCATCCCGGTATCGTGAACGAAATTCAACGTGGGAACCGAGGATTGCTGTGCAGAGACCAAGTGTCCCACAGCGTAACACGAACCGTTCAAATTCGAGAACGGATCCTGCAGTTCCTCCAGATACGTGGACGAAGGTGACGATGGAGACTCCACGTTGCACAACAACGACGTAGGATCACCTCTGATCAAACTGAGATCGAACTCGTCCGTGGCGGCTTGCATGGTCCCCGTGAATCCTTGATCCTCCGTCTGTGTGTGAAGAATAAGCGGCAAGGACACTGACACGTCATCCTGATACTCCTGATAGTCCTGGTAGTTCTGATACTCCGGGTACACCGTGTTGCAAAAAGTTCTCGAGAAGGAGAACGCAGAACCAACGGATGGAAGTCTCTGTCCGTTGGAACAGTCGGACATTTCGCTGCGAACAGCATTGTTCCAAGTTGGCGTGGTTGCTTCGCTACCAGTGCTTCCCGGTGACCTGTCCGTGTTGGAATATTGCTGACACGGATACTGGAACACCGTTGTCAGCTGTTCCCAGTCGCTGTACTCTCTGGGACTGGAATTGTTGAGTAGAATGGGAGAGGAGACGCTGTCCGCGTGAGAGGTGACCCAACATGGCTGCTGGTTACTGGCGCTTATCGAAGTGATAGGCGCCAAGTGTAGTGTGTTGAAGTCTTCCTGTTTGATACTCTTCGAGACAGCTCGTTGCACGTCCTCCTCGCTCCTGTTCACGTGGTAATCCTCAAGGTGCATCCTGGTACCGCCTGGAAGTTCGTGGGTGAGGTTAGTGAAACGTTTTTGCAACGGAAGATTAGGAGAGAGATTTGTTGAATTGTGTGTACGTGTGTGTGTGTGTGTGTGTGTGCGTGGTGAGTTGACGAGGAAGTTCGAGTGGAAAGTTACGGAGGTTTTAAAAACACGAGCTCGGATGTTGCAACGAGTCGCGCGTGACATAAGGCGATAGCGGACCGGGTAATCGCGAGCAGCACGTGAATGAAATAACGTTAGAGGAATTTCTGGCATCTCCCTTGTGACATGTCAACGAATTTATGAATGAAACTTTGGTGAAAAATTTCGGGGCGAAGCTCGCGCTCTTGCAGAATGTTTAATGATATGCTGATTTTAAATATTTCTTTGCCGCTGGTACTTGATAGCAGGAGTTTTTGTCATTTCACTTCGCAGCCAAAGTTGTTCGGTTGAAAAGAGAATTTTTTCGTTCGATATTCCATCAGATGTTAGTTGACTCGGAGGGGTTAACTCATTTGGGACCAACTGATTTTTAATTTTAAATAACGCTGATTAACGTCAAATTCATAATATTCTTAATTCATCTTGAACTACTGACACGTTCACGTACAAGATCAACCGTTCCAAATGAGTTAACGAATAATTAAAAAAAAAGAATCGTAACTACTTCTACAAGTTATTCAATCAGTTACCAGTGCGTTCGATTTTCCTTTCTCCTATCATCTGTCACAATGCTACCAAAAAAGTAGGAAAAAAAACTCGACACTCGTAACTCCTAAATCACCAACGAGAACCAGTAAAAAAAAAAATCACAATTCCGTCACATTAACTTCCCACCGGAAACCTATTCACTCACACTTTACTTCAACCCTATTCACTTACGAGATCCGCGTCACCGATCAAACTTCCCAAAACAAACTCCACCGGCACCGAGTGTCCCACAGAGAGCCCGTTCCTCGGCAAATCTCCAGAAAGTCCAGCTGATAAGCTTATCACTGTCGAAGGTCCGGCGCGGTAACCGCGCGCTCGCGCGATCTTAATCGCGGGTGGAAAAGAAGAATGAACGTGTGCGTGTGTGTGTGTGTGCGACACAGGGTGGCCCTGCAGCGTAAAACTGACCCTGAAGATAGCTGGGTTACACCCGTTCCCGCGTCTCCAAGACGACTATCAGCCAGGACAAGACATACAGCAGCGTTTCTCTGAGCTGACGACACGGGAGATCCCCTCCACCCTTGCTTGAGGAGCAAAGGGAGGAAGCCTTCGAGAAGGGTACGCGCCGCCCACTCGCGTGGCCGTGCTACGTTCCCCCTTTGAAACAAGCAGGGAGAAGAAGAAGAAGAAGAGAGGAGAAGAAGAAGAAGATCCTCCGGCACTTGTGCATCTTGGTGCACTTGCCTCGACTTCATCGGTTTCAGGGTGGCGCGGCACATCTGCGCGCGCGTCTGTCGTCTCCCTTTTTCCCGACTCACCCGTTCGAATTCGTCTTCCATAGAGCTTTTTTGCCCGCGCCTAGATTCTTGGAACGATTATGCCCGATGGATTGTCTCGAGGCTGACGAACTGCTGCCGGATTGCGTCATTTGTTGTTTCGCGTCTCTCCTCCAACCCTCGTTCGAATTTCAGGTTCGATGGGGGTCCTTTAGGTGATTTCTGAAAGGGGGAATCGTTGGTATCGGTTTTGCGGTTTTCGAAGTAGAACGAATCTTACGGCGGTGGTTTGGAGGATGTTTGTGATTTGGGATGTATGATGGTGTTCTTTTGTTTTGAGTACGATATGAAGGTGGTTTTCGTTAAAATCGAAAATATAGAGGTTAGAATAAACGTGGTGTGATAATTCACCTACGTACCACGATTAAAATAGACAATGTCGATATTTTACTTTCCATTAGTGACTCATCTTTTATGGTCATTCTTATCTCCTTCGAGCACCCTTGTTAAAAGGGTTGCTCGAAACGATGAACACATGTATTTACGAGCCTCCATGGCACCACACATGAATACTTTTTCATGCATTTCTATAATTGTACTGTTGGGTGCGAGGCCAATTTTATATGCTTCGTGAATTGATGCTAATGTTAAGCCAAACGTAAACCAAGTTTCCTTAACGAAGACAACCATTGTTTTCATTTCTAATATTATAATTTTCTTCAAATATTGTGTTAAATAAATAATAAAAAATAGTGCTGAAATTCACTTCACTTATGAAAAATATAAGATTTTTAGAGAAATATAAAATTTTTAAATATAGACAATTTTAGAGGAAACGTTTGCATTTCTAAGACGAAATATTAAGTAAATATCAAAAAACTAAATATTAACAAACTTACGTAAGAAGGGCCTAAGGAGGTTATGAACAAAAATTCATTTCCTTTAATAATAACAAACCTACAAAGAATAAATATTAAATTTCACTAAACGTGAAAAATAGTGTAATTTCGTAACATTCAGAGACACTTTTATCGAAAACTTATTTACACCCTTTTCGCATCCATCGTTAAACAAAAATTGCTCCGGCGCCATTTTGAACCGGTCGTTGACATTAAAACGCAATCGGTAGTTGGACGCGTGGCGATCGGCATCTCTTTGAAAATCTGTTAAGGAATATTCCAAGTCGAGGTGCAGCGAGTCTCGAGCAAGAGACAGAAACAGTGAAAGCGGTGTTAAGGGGAGGGGAGGGGGTGCTTAGGACGATCTTTCGTCGCTCGAACCCCGAGAATCGGGTGCAGGGCAAAAAACGTAAAACCAGCTGCCGCACACGCGTCACTTATTAACAACAGCTTCTTCGCGCGCACACATGAGGGCAAGTCGTTCACTCCTTCCTCCTATTACAGCCTACTATTATTTCACCGACCTCCCCGTTCTCCCCCTCCTCCTCCACCGATCGCTATGCATCTCGTGCTTTCACGCGAATACACTCGACATAGTCGCGTTTTTAATTATAGTGGCTCGTGTTTCGCAAAGTTTCGGGAAAAGTTCGCGTTCGAGTGAGAACAAGGGGTGAAAAACTGTAGGAGAGGAATTTCAGGACAGTAAAAGGTTAGAATTCGTATTAAAGGGTCCTTCACTTTCGTGAAGTCATTTAAAGTGTGCTACGAGAGTACATGTGTGTAAAGGAAAATTTATTTCTTAATGTAAAAGATTTTTTTTTCGAAGAGGTTAGGGTCTCGTGTTTGTACAGCGTGTGACGAGGGTTTAAAAAGGAACGTGGATTTGAAGATAAGGAAAAATTGAAAGCTGTGAATTGATTTAATTGAACGTAATTTATTGTCTGTGTTTAAATGTAAAAATAGAAATGGATGGTAATTTACAAGTAAGTTCGTAGAAAATATGTTATTCTTGTTACGTCGTGTTTGTTTATATGCAGTACAATATACGTGTGTAACCCTTCGTGAGTATGTATCGTGTGTAGAAGCGCCGACACAAAGGGGTTCGTTTACACGTCTGAAGTACTACGCTTTCCTTATCAAGTCCTACACGCTCGTCCCTTCTATATTATATACAGTAATTAAAAAACCAAAAAAAAAAAATCAAAAGAGTTCTGCTAAAACAAAATGGATAGAGAACGATGAAGGGTACAATGAATAAAAAAAAGAAAAAATAGAGATAAACGACGAAGAAATTCTCGCACGGTTCGACTGTCCAATCCAAAAGGCATTGTTATGATTCCACTGCGATTCTCGCGACAGCACGATCCTCGAAAGTCGGGTGCCCCCAGTTTCTTCCAAGCGAATACACACACACAAACAGCTCCGTGCATCCTCCTACTCAGCCCTTGCATATACACGCGTGTGCATCTTGACTGCTGCACTCACCCAGATGCATACGGGCACGCATGCGTTCACAGTTGCATCTTATGGTCGGGTTATACGTCATATTACGGGTAGATAAGTGATAGAGTGGCACATGTGGCCTGCCAGCCCTCTATGCTTACATTATACATACTATGCCCGCTCTCGACCACGCTTTTTTGCCCGGGCACCTGTCAACTCCGTTCGTACCATAGTCACCGCATGTGTACGACTGCCATTAAAATAAATATACTGGAAAAAGGATTTCGATCGTACACCCCATACGGATGCAATAACAGAGAGAGAATGAAGAAGGGAGATAAAAAAAAGAGAAGGTATCTTAACGAACGTTTAATCGGAGGGGATTCAGTGGTGACTTTCGGGGAATTGGTTATATCGATAAGATCGAATTTTAATGAAACTCGCTAAAGTTTGTACAATATCGATCGATCGTTAAAAGCTGTTTCCTTGATTGCAAGTGATGCTTAATTTTTGAGAATGTAGTTACTTTTAGTATCAGACTTTTCAGTTTTATGGAAGTATATCTTAATTTTTAATTAAGCAGAGTTTTTTTATGTGGATAAGAACATAAGAAATTAAACCGTTCTTTTCTTGCCTGAGGAGAAAAAGTAGCAGTAAGTATAAAATTTTTTTTAATGATGGATTTTTTTGTTTGACTTTAATCAATAAATCAAAGTAAAATAAAAAGGCAAGAAATAATGGTAAGGTAACCAACTACAATAGTGGGAACACATTTCTCAATAAGCTGGAATGGTCAATTGATTTCATACGGACTGTAGGATTCTAGGTTAAAACTGTTACATAGGCATACAGTTCTACTATATAGTCTGCTCCATGAAATCCATATTTCACGGATCATAAATAAAATGACAGTTCAGGATAACAAACTACGTTTAAGAAACGTATATTTAGGGCGGCGGGGTTTCTAAAACGATAGAACAGTGGCGGTTAATTTGTGTTTGGAGTTGCGTGGCGGTAGCAGTGGATAGAGAGCGTATTGGAAATAGTGCGGGACGCATCACGTACGTACGTGTCGGCGTTCAGCATTCGGTCAAGCGACGTAAAAATAGAAAGACGTGCGCTCTGCATGTGACTTCGTATAATTAGGTACCGAACCCGAGAGCCGTCGCGTTGTATGTCCCATACGTTAGGAAGCTGGCACATTAGAGCTTAACACGGGACCCAACGATTTTTTTTCCCGTAGGCACGTTGACGAATCGGTTATGAAATATTAGATCATTTCTGTCGGAACGCGGCGTGACACTAGGGAACATCATGTCATATACAAACGAACAATTTATTGCTCTTTCATACTCAATTTAACAAAAATATTTGGATTCTTAGATACATATTAATAAAAAAAAAAATTGGAAGGTAGAATTGTTCCAGCTCTTTCAACTTTGATGATTAACGATCAACGTTAAGTTCTCTTACGGCGGTTTAATTGAAATTGTACATGTCGTCCCTCAAGGAAGATGAATGCTAGAATATATGCTCGTGTCCGTGATAGGTACGTTTTCTTTCTCGACTATTGGAAAATGTTGTATACGACCACTGCTCCAAGCAATTGTTAAACAAACTACGTTGGAGTCATTTTGGCACTCTTGATAAAAATTCATACAAGTCGGAAGTTCTCCCCAGAATCCTTTGATAAGACAACTCGGTTTAACATCAACTATTCGTGAGAGATTTCCTATTTTGGTATTAATTAATGCGATCCATGGACTTTCCTAATAAAAAAAAGAAAAATGTATCGTGAAAGTTTGCCAGTTAAGATTGCGTTTCCGATTGAAGTGTGATAAAAATTGTACCTGGAAGAGGATAGCAAGATATCTTCCTGAAGGATCCCATTCCATTGCAACTATTCTTCCGCCGACAGTCACATAGTGGTCGTTCGAGGCAAAATTCACTTCTGTTAAATCTATCACAGGTACAGCCATTTTTGCATCATCTAGAGAAGGTTTCTTGACATCAAAAATATTTTCTTGCAGAGGCAAAGAAAAGATTATACCAGGATCTTCGTTTGATGCAAACAACAGTGTCAAATTTGGGCCAAAACATGCAACTGCTACACAACCATTAGGCACTGTCCATTTATCTGCTTGCCAAGACGTTGCCACTCCAGAATTCCAAACTCTAATTGTTAATGTATATTAAATACAATGTCTTAAATAACAACGTTTTTTGCTGTATAAAAAAACTATGAAAAGTATATCATACCTGAATATATTTCTGCATGTAGCTGAAAATAATCTAGAACCACAGGATGACCACCGTGTAAAGCGTAAGCCACCACCTTCAACCCTTCTCAATGGAACACCTTCCTTTCTAGAAGTATCCCAGATAATCATACTTGTATCTGCTGGTGAACATGATACTAGCAAATCACCCTGTGGATGCCATGTAACATTTGTTACAGGAACATGATGCCTTTGTTTTAATAACACTGCATGACTAAGAGAACTACTAGCTCCCACTTCAATTGTCCATACTAAAACACCTGCATGACATGCCACTGCCAGCTCCTTACCAGCAAGTGGTCTCCAGCTTATGCAGCAAACTGACTTTTGAGCACTATGTCTTAATATTGGGACTACTCGTATTCCTTCAGAAAAGATACGTATGCGATCATCTCTTGTAACTACTGCCAAACGTGCACAATGTGGATGCCAAGCAAGACATCTAATCTAAAAATTAATATTAAAAATAAAAATGTGTCATAAACAAACCAAGTTAATTATAAATTTATTATAAATTAACTGCTTACAAGAGATGTTTCCCAATCCCTTGTGTGAACAACTTCTACAACCGAACCAGATCCCGAAGTAGGTAAAATTTCTCTCTGATATATTTCTTTATCCATTAAATCCAGTGCCCATTTGAGTCTAAAATTAAAACTGTGATATTACTTGCTAAAATTAAACACAAAATTGTTGTTAAAACCTTGTGGCTATCCAATGTAGGGCTGTTGTAACTTCCTCTGGTTGTGCAGATGCAATGAGAGAGATAACTTCAGCTAACCCTTTCTCCCTCCATATGCTAGCAAGTTTTTTAAATATACTATCGTGAACTGGCAAAAACAAATCGCCAGCACAAACGGTGCGTGAAGTTTCACGGGTAGCAAGTGTATCTGAAGCAATTGAAACTTCTGGATATTTTCGCAAATATCTGGAGAACGGTTGTAATTCATCTTGCAGATTTTGATAATCACAATAATGTAAATTGTTTTCTATAAATGCAACAGTAGCTTGTTCATCAAAGGAAGGAGCAACAAAATCGCGTAGTGACAGTATTTTCAGCATGATTCGTTCTGTGATATTACTTGTTTAACCTATAAAGACGAGACATAAAGAACAAAACGATATATTTATTGATCCATATATAAAATAGTAAGTTCATAAAACGGCGATATTTTCAAGAAAAATATACAGAATCGTTAGAATAAACAGCGTTTACGAAAAATCTTTTCAAAATATTTTCGCGACGAAAATGTCTCGTACCTCGATATATCCGAAGCCGGATAAGATGGTCGACGATAGTTTACATCAATCGCCATAGCAACAACCAATCGTGACGCAGAACCGTTAGACTATTGCGCATGTGGCAATTGGCTACCATTCAAAACGTTTCAGTCGCGAAGAGAAATTTTTAGTTAATTTTACTGCTGGACATTTACATGACATTCAGTGGATGTGCGTTCATGTATTGCGATTCACTCTGAAAAAGTCATAAAAGCGCGTTTCTCGCGAGAAAATCATTTCAAATTGCAGAAACACCTTAAGAAATTGAACATGCGGCGGAATATGTCGAACATGACAGAGATAGAGGTAGGGGATCAGTTGGACAGGGTGGGGACCGAAAGGGAGGGGTGAGGTGGGGACAGCAGTATGCGGTCGCTATTCGTGCGGCGCGGATTACGTATTAGAGTTGTCTTCTGCTACGAGCAAGCCTCGTTCGTCGGTTCGTTTCGTTGCAAAGCTTTTCTCTTGAGAGGACTAACTACGCGGGACACATTGGTCGGTGGACAGTTGATAAAATGCTACCGCGAAGGTAGTGGCAAGATCAATCGCGATCAACATGATTTCGGTGGAGCTTTCGTTCTAGAAAGTCGACCGAGATCGCTGGGGAGACGAGAGACAGAAGGGAGGAGGACCAGCTCGGTCTTCATGAGAGATGGGCAAGAAGGGTTCTAAGCGGAAAACTCGATGGAGAACTCTTAGCATCGGTGGTGAGTGTTCTATGTCAATGAGAATTTACTTCGAAATACACGTACGTCGTTTACGAAGTCGTGCATGCCCCCAAGACCTCCGAGTGCATCTCGTGGTCGCATGTTCTTAGTCTAGTCATTGATCTATTACCAAAAATAAACGTCGTTACCATGACACGTCTGTAGATGTTTTATTGTGGAACGCACCCCGCTTGCAAATTGTCCTTTTCCCGTTTGCGTACATTCTAATACGCACATTGATATCTAGTACGTACATTCTGGCCGCCATCGTAACCACGACTCTCGATCTGTTCGTACAACCTCGCGTAATTCCGAGTCATTTTTCGCGATCGCGAAGTAAACGACACGAGAACTGTTTCGTCGATCACGATGTGTTGTGTGTACTGTCCCCTTTGCCCGGTGATGAAAAAAAAAAAACGCGTTCCCGTCATGATAAACAAGGGCACGGAACGATTGTCACGTAGATGAACGAGGTTATAGCGGGTGAGTTTCATCCGGTGACAGCGTGCGATATTGCGAGCGAATTTCGCTGTTCTGTCCGGGACTGTTTCCCAGCCGGGCATCGATCCATGCACCCTCCATGACTTTCCCCCTTCGTCGAAACGTGTCTAGCTAAGGCAAGTACTCTACACGCGACCCTACGTACGTCGATGCTGTTTCTCTCGATGCTAAAATCCCTCTCTTTCTCTCAGTTGTGTCGAAGGTGTATCTCCGTCGTTGATTGCTCGTTTTGATATACGCTGTCTCCATCTATACCCGGCCCCGTGACATATCTAGCGTAAACTCGAGCGCAAAAACTATGCACTTTTATTTCATGTGTCCACCGCGTGCTCGCCTCTAACCTCTGACTATTTTCCGGGGGAGGCTTCCGCGTTTGCCGTCGCGAAGCTTCGAATCATGAAGCGAGTTGCGTTCTATCTTTGGAGGGTTTGGCCCGCGAGGGTCGTGTCTTGAGACACGAAATTTCTACTCGACGATAGATACACCGGAGAAGCTAAAAAAAAGTCACAGACAATGTAAAACGGAGAACCAATCGCGTGTCACCATAAAATAGCCAAGGTGTACAGATGATAGTATTTGATGTTATAGATTTATCAAATTCCTCTAAAAAACGAGAAAGATCATACCTTTCTGTTTATTCTTGTTTTTTGATGAAAGTTTTATTTTTATACCTAGTTAATATAAAGTGAAAATGAGTGGAAATAAAAGAAAATTCAATAGTGCATTGTAGTTCGAGTTTATTTTTACACCATGTGTTGAAACACGTGTATCTTCGATTGTCGTTTCATGAATATATGACTCTTGGCTATCAAGTTGGTCAGCACTGGTATGTTTTGTTTATAATTTAGCTTATAGTAAAATGTATTTATTCTGACGTTGGGTTTCATCCACGGTCAACGTCGAATGGCACAAACACGCACGTGACATGCTAGGTTAGAGCGATAACGAGCTCTCGGCACACCGGCAATTGCCAAATATAACATATCATGCTCGTAGACTTTTATAATGTTTTCGTAGTCACTTTTCGTTGATGCCTTTTATCTCCTGCTTTTTCAAAGTCTTGCTCGCACATCGCATTTTCTTCGGCGTTTATCAGTCTAGTTCGTGTTATCTTCGTTCGATAAGGTTATGAGGGTTTATGCTTGTCGTTTAGATGGTTCCGTGTATTAGCCAAGAAACTTTCTTTTACCCCACATTCTCCAAGATTTCTAAATATTATTCAAATTTTTTTTCAAGAATGTGTACCGAAACCCTAGATCGTTTAAAAGAAAAAAATTAAAACGCAAAAAATGTTTATTTATATTCTGTATTGTTTGTTTTCTGTATTATTTTGTCACATAATGCTGCTAACATTCCAGCCTTGTTCCCTTTTGCAACATATTTCACCTAGTTTCAAGAATAGCATACTCTACATTGTACACACTGTAAATCTTGCTGTTGAAAGGTGATAAATTAAATTTGAATCACAAATCCTACTTCTTTTTCTTCCTGTATTTACTTTTAGTTTTCCAAACGTGTATTTTTCTCTTAATTACTTTTATATAAATTTTGATTCACTCATTTAGATTAATTTGATCTTACCTACTCTCAGTTCTGCTTTCACTCTGGCTTACTGTCACGAATTAACCAAGTATAGTCATTGACTTAAAACGAGTGCCATAGTTGGGTGATTAGCATTGACGAAAACATAAACATAGGTGGAGCGGTAGTCTGCGACGCGAATCGCTTGTCAAACGTCATCTAATGCTTAGCTAGTCTTTCGAATATGATCTTGAAAACTCGGCTGTATGTAACCGACATTTCGCGCGTTTCGATGTTGCGCAGTAGTTCAGTAAGGAGAGGTAGCTCTTGTTGTACGATGTTCCTATCCGTTTCCCTGTTTGCTGCTGTGAGTGAAGTGGAACGAGTGGAATATTTTTCCTGTGTACGAACAGGCGGTAATTTATTTTTAAAATTGGAATATACCGGCTGAGTTGCGTAACGGACTTTTTCGTGCATCGAGGTAGGTAACATGGAGTTTGCATGTGCAAATGTGCGTGTGACAACGATCTTTCGCACTTTGAATATGTTAAATAGACGTTCGAAACTTTTTTTTATTTGATTTGTTTAATATCTTAGTTAAACCGTAAGCGTTAATATATTTGTTCCGCTTGAAATCTTGCTGATTATCATTTTTCCACGATGATTAAATTAATGCATAACTTTATGCGTTGCGTGTAATTGTAAGATATTTGGCGCATGCGCAGTTCGTCTGTTCGAAAGTTGTTAAATAATGATAAAGTGATTGAAAACTGAATTGGCTGTGTTTTTCTCTATTCTCGTTTCTTTTTTCTTTCTTACATCGTAAACAATATTATATTGAAAATAAGAGAAAAGAGGTCGACAAACGTATTCTGTTTTGAAAAGGTTTAAACGAAATCCCGTTCTATTTTTCGAGGCATAAAGTACGTTTTTCGAAAGTCGATTGCATCATCCCATGGCTTTTGCGACGCCTCGATATTCATTAGTCTGAATGAATCGGCATAGCTTCCGTGAGATCAATATTTTTTAATAGCAGTTTTCTAATTAATAAACGACGATATAATTGACAGTTATTGTTGAAAGTGAGGGGAAATTGAAATTTCGTGTTAAGGGATAAATCGTTGAGTAAATAAACGCAAAACTGTGGATCAGATCAATTCCTTAATGTAAACCTTTTCGACATTGTACATAAACTTTATAAACCGAAAACTAACCTTAATACAAAGAAAAGAATGGTACACAGAGATTGTAGTGATATCAAAGTGATTCAGAAAAGTGTGTAGATTTGACACAGTTAATGAGTTAACTTGTAATATTGACACAAGGTTAGATACATAGTACCTAGCATAAAAACTTGAATGAAACGACAATGTTTGTCTTTTTGTGACACCTGTAATTGCAATTGGTTTGTATTTTCTTTTCAAGTGAATCGATCTCGGTGAATATTTCAACTGTATCAATATTAGGGTAAGGAGTCGAAGCATGAATACTTCATGAAATGTTTTAGATTCCTTGGTAAACAGCGTAGGGTTTCGTGTATATGGTTATCTCAAACGTAAGCAGTATTCTAACCTAAAAGTATTTAACTGTTCTAATATTTTCGTAATAAAGAAAAGTTCGCGAAATGTGAATTAGGTAGGTACTATCATAAATAAAATACGGAATTTCTTAGAAAAATCTACAATCTGTCGCGAAGTGTTTATTTATCGAATATCTCGTCTGAATAATTCCAGAACGAATTTATTTGAAAAGAAAAGTACGCAGAATTGCACTTGAAAATAAACGCGCGATTTCACTTCGCAGAAACAGGAACAGTTATAAGCTACTTCTATTTTTATCACCGATTATATCACCTATATCATTTTTATTTTCCTTTATTACTTTTCTCCCTTCCAACCAAACAGGAAAACGATTCGTCACAGTATCATGAATTATCCCCTCTACCGCAAACGCGAGAAATGTCCAAGAATGTGCTCGTAGTAACGACTCAATATCACAGTTCAATGTCTAACAGTCTTTTCGCTGTTCTAATTTTTCGTACGCATTCCGTGT